CACTTTTTTACACACAACTTTCCCTCTTCCTGCTGTTGGTATTTGTGTAAGTCACCTTAAATCGAGTTGTGTCATCTTAGTATAGAGGCTGCCTTTCTGGAAATAAAACCTGGTGGGCAGAGCTTCAAGCTCAGGACTTCGGGTTACTTCTAGGACATTCCCAACAATGGAGGGCAGTAGGCAAGCCTTTCTATAGCAGCCAGCACGCTATGAAAAGAGTACCACAGCATGACTGCCCCCCGTCAGACTGTCTGGTCAACCCGAGGTCTCTTGCCACAGGGGTGCTCTGTTTCTAGAGATAATTATAATCATGAAGAGATAGGACTATACCTTCTGTTTCTAACTTTTTTTTTCCTCTCTTGTTTGTTTTTAATCCTCATTATATTGTAGAATGAATAGGAACCGGATCAACAATGCCTTCTTTTTGAATGACCAGACCCTGGAATTTTTAAAAATTCCTTCCACTCTTGCACCACCCACTGACCCATCCATGCCCATCTGGATCATTATATTCAGTGTGATATTTTGCATCGTCATAGTGGCAGTCATGCTGTTGATTTTATCAGGAATCCGGCAACGTAGAAGGTAAGATACTTAAACAGAGTGACTTAGGGAGGATTTTCCTATTTCCTTATGACTTGGAAAAATGAGGAGGGGAATTTCTCCAAGCTGAAAATAATGCCTTAAATCTGAAACTTTGAAAATATTGGTGATTATGAAAATATCACTTAGGCTCTTGTGTTTAGAGACTTTCTAGAGCCCAGTGTCCCTTACTATGACTCCTTCCAATACTGTCTTTTTCTTTCTTCTACACTGTATGAATATTTCATATCAAGAATTGATTTTAGTATCTGTATTATGCTTTTGTAAGTTGGATATACAAACCTAAGTAGACTTTTTGGGTGGGCAGAGTTAATCTTTCACAGTCCTCTACAGGCAGATGCCAGCAGTTCCACGGTTCTTTCCATGCCTCCCCAGCTTGGCTTGCCTTTTCTTGGCCCAGTGCCTATAGCCCCCATCTTGTCCCGGATACTCTGTGCTTCTCTGCTTCCCTCCTTTCAACAGTTGCTTGTCCCTCTAGTGCCTGTAGAACTACGTTCCTCGAGGTGAACTTCGAATCAACACCTTGCATCAGAATCACCTGAACGCTTGTTTAAAATGAAGGTTTGCCTTACTGCAAACCTTCTAAATTATAATCTGCAAAGGGGATGCATTCTAATGAATATCCGGGTTATTCTAATTCACTTAGTTTGAGAGCTTCCAGTTTGGAGATACGCTGCTTCCGGAGTTCCTTTACCTGGATTCCGGGGCACCTACAAACTTTGCTGTCTAAATTATTGCCATTACTTCAAGGGAGAATTTCAGACCACTGGGAAAGTTACGAAGGTAGGAGAACAGGAGGAGAGGAGGAGAGGATTTCTCAGCATGATGAAAGGAGAAAATTTTGTTTACAAGTACCTCTGATCCAGAGGGGAAGTGGAGAGGGTCCTTACTCTTCATTAGACAGTTTGATTTTTCTAAAACCTTCTCATCTGATTCCAAGGAAGAAGAATTTTGGTAAGTGGGAATCACAGGGACATGCATTGGCTTTCAAAAGGGTCGATGCCCACACAGACATGGGGGTTGAGTTTGGCCAAGTGTGGGTTCAACTAAATGTTTCTCTGGAGGTTTACTACTTTCCCTATGCCTCACCCTAGTTACTAGCAGAAGGGAATCATTTCAGATGTTGGCCTTTGTAACTTTTTTCCACAAATGATGAGTGAAATGCTCTGGAATAAATGAGATTTATGTCTAGTCCCCATCTTAAAACTCAGAGATTAAAATCAAGTTGTACTTGCTTGATTTTCTTCATCTTGGCATGGCATACACAATGCTGAGAGCCGTGGTACAAGTTGTCAGTTTGTTTTCAGTCTTTTTTTTTTTTAATATTAAGAAAGATTCCCTTGTAATATTTGACTACTTGTGTTTAATATGTTTAAGTTCCATATAATCCTATAATATAATATAATCCTATATATATATAATATATATAATATATATAATATATAATATAATACTATAATACTATAATCTTATAATACTATATTATAATATAATCCTATAATTCTAGGATTTCTAACGATCGTAACCTCTGTATATTCATTTCATCTCCTTGGTTCCCTGTTTTCTCACTAGCACAGTATACTCTAGGAGTTAGAAGGACGGACAATAAGACATACTGCTTAGATCCAAACTATTTATATCCTAGATTCTGCTGTTGTATGTAATCCATTAACTCTGCATATCAGGAGGCACAGGCAATGAGTCAGGGAACCCAAGCGCAGGAGAGTATGGTTTGCGGTGCTAGCATTGGGTTGGTTAAATTTTTCTTTGTTGCTTGTGCAGAGATGACTTTGCTGGAGTGACAGCGAGGTATACCAGAAATAATGAACTTGGTGGGATAAAAAGAGTTAATGCAGTGGTGTGCTTAGAGTGGTGCCTGGCCCACGGTGAGCGCTCAGTAAGTGTTAGCTGTTACTGTTATTTTATTATCCTGCCATTTGCTGGCCTTCCAGCTCGTGCTATCTCTTTCCTGCTGAGCAGGTCCTGCGGTAATATAATAATTGGGTGTGTAGCATCATAATCTGTTGCCTGGGAGAAGTGAGGCTGTTGTCACAACCTTGCCTTCGCAAATTCATTTTGTGTTCAGACTAGGAAAACAGATAGACACATCTCTTGCAGAAATCTGGAGAGCATCACTAATTGGCAAATAGAGTCAGGACAGTTATGACAACCTTCTGAAGATAAATTGATTTGTGGTGTTGTAAGTTAGATACGATCTGTGGTGGGTTTCTCATGGGCAAAGTACTGCTTGGAAGGTGTGGAGAGGGTGCGGTCCGGAGTGGGGAGAGCCCTGGTGATGGTGATGAAAGCCCTTTCTAATCCTGGAAAAGGCAGAAGTTGGCCCCAGTGCTTTTAGTCCTAAGGAAACAAAGATTTGTTCAACAGTCCAATCCATACATTAGATACTAATGAACATAGTTTGCATGATAGAAAATCTTACATTTAGAAGGCCAGGAGAGGGTTGTCTCAGTTAACCGTTTTGCTTCCGTGGAGAAGAATGCCACTGTCATCAACGACATATGCATATTTAAACCGACTGCTCAGGACATTTCTCAAGGAAACCTTTAACAATTCTTTTACCTTTGTCAGTAGCAGCACTACATTGATTACTCATAGCTGATCACTGTGAAGTGTGCAGTCATTGGAAGCCAAACTGGGTGAACTCAAACACCACCTATGCCCTTTAGCCAGATGACCTTGGTCGAGTCATCCAATTTCTGTGGGACTATTTCTCCATCTGTAGTAAGAAGATACTATCTCATAGGGCTTCCGTGAGGGTTGGTTGAGATAAATGTGTATGAAGTACCTAGAATATAGCATGCACTAAATAAACAGTATTATTATCCAAGATCAGCTTAAACCATTTCTGTGACTAAGGGATACTGAAAAAAGGATCTCATTTTCATCCAGAAATTGCCAGGATGCTATAAAAAGTTTTCCAGTTCAGTGGCTCATTGTTTGGGATTTTATTAGTTAACAAATCCCTATTTTATTTTATTTTGTTTAAAGGTTTTATTTATTTATTTGACAGAGGGAGAGAGAGATCACAAGCAGGCAGAGAGGCGGGTAGGGGGGTGGGGGGGTGGGCGGGAAGCAGGCTTCCTGCTGAGCAGAGATCCCGATGTGGGGCTCAATCCCAGCACGCTGAGATCATGACCTGAGCCGAAGGCAGAGAGGCTCTAACCCACTGAGCCACCCAGGCATCCCACAAATCCCTATTTTAAAAAGCAAGTGATCTCATTAGGGTTGCCGTTTACTACAATAGTGGTGAACTGGTTAACCAGCTGTCTAAAAAATAGCCCAGTTTGGGAGCTCTAGTATTTATCAGGGATGATACATACTCAGATAATGTGGATGGTCCCTGCCTACAAGGAGATTATAGTCTTTGCACTTGGTAACAATGCCAGATTAAGTACTCAGGACATAACCCTAGCTAATGCTCCCAGTAGAGCAGAGTCGTTCGTAGATTGACTTGGTTTATATCTAGTTATATTTCTATTCCCATAAGGGCAGTAGTAAACAGAAGTGCATTTAGATTTCTAAAAATACTGCTTTTCACACAAGGGGATGGGGCTCAGCCAACATTTTCAATATACTGAAATTTCACATTCTTAAAAAGTTTTAAGTCAGTAGTCTTAAAAATAGATGTATGAGTAAAGTCAGAAATGTTAGAGCTAATAATTGTTTTTCTTTGCTGTTCTTTTTTTTTTTTTAAAGATTTTATTTATTAGAGAGAGAGATCACAAGCAGGCAGAGAGGCAAGCAGAGAGAGAGAGAGAGAGGAGGAAGCAGGCTCCCTGCCTAGCAGAGAGCCCCGTGCAGGACTCGATCCCAGGACCCTGAGTTCATGACCTGAGCTGAAGGCAGAGGCTTAACCCACTGAGCCACCCAGGCAGCCTTCCTCTGCTGTTCTTAAATGTACATACTCAGTAGGAATCAAATGTGTGTTTTGAGTGAAGCCTGGGGAGATTAAGTAGAGTTCTAGGTCCACTGGTTTCACCAGTCTTGTTCCTTTCTCAAAGATAAGCTGCTTTACATAGTTGAGTCTTAGCTCTTTCATTTGAAAAACAGAGATAATAAGGGGCACGTGGGCGGCTCAGTTGGTTAAGCGCCTGCCTTCGGCTCAGGTCATGATCTCAGGGTCTCTGGATCAAGCCTCACGTCGGGCTCTCTGCTCATCGGGGAGTCGGCTTCTCCTTCTCACTCTCCCTCTGTGCTCTCTCTCTCAAATAAATAAATAATGTCTTAAAAAACAGGGATAATAACATCTTTATAATACTGCAATAGGAATTAAATGAGGTGATGTACACAAAGCACTTAGTCTGGTTTCTGTCATGATATAGATACTAATTATTATTATCACTACCACATGGCAGACATGAAGCAACCTGCCCATGGTCACATGGTCAGAAGGTTTGTAGTAACCGTCTTTAAAACCAGGTAGTCTGGGGGCGCCTGGGTGGCTCAGTGGGTTAAAGCCTCTGCCTTCAGCTCAGGTCATGATCCCAGGATCCTGGGATTGAGCCCCGCATCGGGCTTTCTGCTCAGCGGGGGACTGCTTCCCCCCTCTCTCTGCCTGCCTCTCTGCCTACTTGTGGTCTCCGTCAAACAAATAAAATCTTTAAAAAATAAAATAAAATAAAACCAGGTAGTGTGGATCCCAAAGCCCATCAGTCTGACTGGACTGTGGTGCCCACTGAAATCATTCCGGTAACATTGATGTTTTCCCCGGGAATCATCCATACTGATTATGAGGATGGTTCTAATTCCCCAATAATTAATTCTGTTCTATTTCAAAATCATATTTGTCTATCCTTTGTTGTTTTTCTGGCTATTCTTGGGCCTTAGCTCTTTAGTCCTATCTTGTTTGAAGGGAGACAGAAATATTCTTTGTGCTTTCAGCCACCACTACTTTATTTTTTTTTGAAGATTTGATTTATTTATTTATTTATTTATTTATTTATTTATTTATTGGAGAGAGAGATTGAGGGAGAACAAGCAGGGGGAGCAACAGAGAGGGAGAAGCAGGCTCCCTGAAGGGAGCCCAATACGGGGCTCGATCCCAGGATCCCCGGGATCACGGCCTGAGCCGAAGCCAGATGCCTAACGACTGAGCCACCCAGGCGTCCCACCACTATTTTATCATGAGCAAACCCTAACCCTAACCCTGCTCCTCGACACCCCTTAGCTCCAAAGGTCACCCAGCATTTTTTTTTTTGTCCCTTCATTTGCCCCTCTTCTCTCTAGATTTATGAGAAGTATCTACCCTCAAGGTTTTTAAGAACTAGTTTCAGGCATTTTACTTTTTCAAGACAATCTTCTTCCTGAACCGCCATACACTGCAAGAACAGTGGAAGTCAGCACTCAATTTTATTTTTCAGGAAAAGGAATTCATGTTTTTAGCAGAACATCAAATCAGAATGATCCAGAAACACAGTTAAGTTTTATTATTGTTAATAAGAGCAATGCAGAGGCAGTGAACCCGTTTATTACCGTATGTACTATGAAACGTGACAAAGCCCTGCGTTACTGTTAGATAACCGGCGAGCTGCTTATCGTGTCCAGCCAGCACGGTCCTGACACTGCAGTTTGTGAAGCCGGGCAAGGCCAAGACTCTGAACGACTGGATCCAAGGTCACAGAAGCACAATGTGTACTGCATTCGCCACCAGCACAGCTCCATTAGATACATTTCCACAGCCGTTTTGCCCAGAATCTTTTTGGTTGAGAAATCCTTCTTCTCAAGAAGATGAACTTGTCCTTGTCTGTTTACATCGTTCTTTTTAGTTCTTCCCCATTCCTTTGTGAGGCCTAATGGATTAGTACTCCTTTATGGCTGGGAGTGGAAGGCGAGATTCCTTGTGGTGATCTGCAAGTGTCCAGCTCCCTGTGATTTTTCATCTAACTCGATAAAAGCACTTTCTTAACTGACGGAACTGACAAATAGACCCTGGCCATGTCTATTTCGAAGACTCCCATTGCATTGCCACCTCCTTTAGAATGCTCCATCCGCTAAGATTTTTGTGATGTGAATTTCATACTTACATACACAAATTTTAGAGTAAGAGTTGACGGTTTAAAATCTGTTTATTGTTATGGAGAATTCTTATTCCCTCCAAGCCCAGTGAGGAGTGAGTGTGGGAGAAATTGAACGAACTAGACATTTTTAAAAAAAATATTTTTCTTTATTTTTACTTATTTGACAGACAGAGATCACAAGTAGGCAGACAGGCAGGTAGAGAGAGGGGAGGGGGAGAAGCAGGCTCCCTGCTGAGCAGAGAGCCTCATGCGGGGCTCGATCCCAGGACCCTGGGATCATGACCTGAGCCGAAGGCAGAGGCTTCAACCCACTGAGCCACCCAGGCGCCCCGAACTAGACATTTTTTGATGATAATTTATAAATACGCATTTGTTACTGGGGCTTCATCCCTTCTGAATCATCACTTCTTTTTATAATCCATAAAACATGGGAGGGAGGATGAGTGAAATTTGGAGTTTTCCCCCATTGTTAAGTCCTTTCTCTTCACTTTAGGACAAGGACTGTGTCTGTTTGAACACAGAGTAGTCACTCAAAACATAGTTATTCAATGAGTGTTGGGTACTGTGAATGGAAGTGGTATGATTGATGGTTATAGAATGTCAGTTGAATGCCCTGTTCCCAAATCACCTCTTATTCAGTGGTTGAGTATCATTGATGAGCCTCATTAGAATCAATTATTATTATAGTGGTGATTTTCTATTTCTGTTACTTTGTCTATAATAGCTGTCATTCCTGTGTAAATAAGAGGTCTTTCTTTCCTCTCCTTTCCTCCCACCGGATTCTTTAAAGCACATTAAAATGGACTCTCATGCAGGACTAATAGGAAACTCTACCTCAGTCATCTCTGGGGCATCTTTACCACCTCTTTTTTTTTTTTTCAAAGATTTTATTTATTTATTTGACAGAGATCACAAGTAGATGGAGAGGCAGGCTGAGAGAGAGAGAGAGGGAAGCAGGCTCCCTGCCAAGCAGAGAGCCTGATGCGGGGCTCGATCCCAGGACCCTGAGATCATGACCTGAGCTGAAGGCAGCGGCTTAACCCACTGAGCCACCCAGGAGCCCCTCTTTACCACCTCTTCACTCACCAGAGACTCACCAAGGTTCTAAGGGACTTCCATAGTAGTGGGAGTCCATCCTGGTCACCACAGCAGTGCCCGCCATTCCAGCGGTGGGATCCATTCAGGTCTGCCTCTCCGAAGTCTCCACAGGTTCCTGGGACAAAAGAATCTCTAGCAAGTCTGGGAGCCTTATGCCCAAAATCATGCCTCCATGATGCCACAACCTTAATCTCTTATTAAGCATAATTGACTCAGTGACTTGGTCTTTCACAAAAGACAGAAGGACCCTTTGAATTCAAAGCTGCAGCGTTTCACACTCCTTTTATTAAGGGTGGGGATAGCAGAGTCTACAAAGAATCTGAGAATGAGGAAGTCAAAGATTTATACTGTCATATAGAGGGTTTTTGTTTTTGTTTTTCATCTTTTTTTAATGACCTGCAGTTTTAGCTATGAGGTGTAATGTAATTAGTAAAATGTGTTCTGAGTTCCAAAAACCCAACTTACAAATGAAGACAACTATTTTGTAGTAGGTAGAGCCAAGCTGATACCTACAGCTTATAATGCTTGCTTCTTTTCTACAAAGGAATGTGAGTTTGCTTCCTGATACCTCATTTCAATTTGATTTTCACTCAACATTTGCAGACTATTTGTCAAATTGTGTGAGAGAAATTTCATGCTTTTTAAAAATTCAATTTTAGTTAAGTTGTTCTCCTAGAGCTAAATACTTTGACTTGCCACTTTGCCATATGTTTTCTTCACTTTCCTTCATGCAGTATGTGTAAGTGAATGTGTATGTGTGTATGTGTGTGTATACAAATACTTCATTCATATACATGTATATATTCACTCATATACATATTCATATATATTTATTTTAGTATTCCAAATAAAACCACTTGTTCGGATCAATATGTACATGTATCATCCATGCAGACTTCTTATCTTACAGCAGCTTTTCACCCATTAGGTCTTTATCATCTTTGCAATTTATTTGGAAAATATGGAATCTCATCAATTATTTCATCATTCTAAGTTTCCTCTTCCCTCTCTTGCTCTCCATGTTTGTGCAGAAGACCAGGCTTTCTGCTTCTAGACCCCAATCATTCTTTTTATGTGCATTTAGGAAGAGCAAAGGACCATCTGAAGTGGATGACACTGAAGACAAGTGTGAAAACATGGTCACAATTGAGAATGGCATCCCCTGCGATCCTTTGGACACAAAGGGAGGGCACATTAACGATGCCTTCATGACAGAGGATGAGCGGCTCACCCCTCTCTGAAGGGCTCCTGTTTTGCTTCCCCAGGAAACTCAACACTTGTTTCTGTGCCACTGCTGAGCATTATAAATTATCAAGGACAGATCATCTATTTCACCATTCTTCTTTCCTAAGAAATTCTGCATGTGCATGAAAGTAAAAGGCCGTCATTTATACCCATGAAGACCACTGGAATCCTAAGCTGTTGACTACTCAAAATATTCTAAAATATTTCTCTGACAACACAATGTATAAGTATAGTCACGTGGTACCTTATTGGTTTAAAGGTGCATTAGTGTTGAACATTTCTGGAAATAAGGTCAGGCCACTACATATATATACAGATGTATATATATATGTGTGTGTGTGTGTGTGTGTGTGTGTGTGTGTATATATATATTCCCCCCCCACACACAATTTGAAGACCTATGGAGAGAGATTTTTCCAGTGGAGAATATCCATAATATGGTGTAAAAATCTTTGAAGATGGATCCTTTTTGAATATTGTTTATATCACTCTGTATATGACTAAGCAAGAATAAAATATGATTGGGATATGAATGATGACAATGGGAGTGACCATATCCAAGGTAGAATTTCAACCTATGACCATACCAATACTTACTTATTCTCTATCATTCTCTAATAAGTCAGCCCTGTTGGTTGACTATTTCTGCAATTTGTAAAACTACAACCTCTGTGAATTTAATAAAGCGCTAATCATCTCTTTTTAATTATGTGACTGATTGTGGTCTGAGATTTATTTTCATACTGTGGAAATTAGGAAGCCTAATTTTTATTAGTTTTGTGTCATCTGTTCTGCAACCCTAGAATTGAATTATTTTTGTTGTGTGTATCCTTGCTTGAAGACATCTTGTAGTTCGTAGACTTCATTTTATTTCCAGATAGGCCATGGCTATTCTAATCTGTAATAATAAATTATACATTTATGAATAAAAAGAAACTTTGCTGCTCAGTCTCCTACTGCTTTCACCCATAGTTGATGTTACAGCAACAGTTACTAACTCCCTTTCCTGCCCCAGTGTTGCTCCCCAGACACAGACCCCAAGATAGGTAGTTGCAGGCAGAAGGTTCACTGGGGCGTGCTCTGAGGAGATACACTTGTAAGAAGTGAGGAAGGCGGGTGTGGCAAATAGATTCCAAGATGTCTGCCATCTCCCAGTGTTCACGCCTTTACGTAACAACCCCTCTCCGGGAGTGAGGATGGCACCTGGGACTTGCTTCTGCATGGAATACAGCAAAGATGAAGAGATGTTACTCCTGCAATTATGTTGTATTACGTCTGAGTCTGTTTGCCAGCAGACTTGTTCTAGAGACTCTGCTTGCTGGCTTGATTAAGTAAATGGCCATGTCGGAAAAGCCTACGTGGAAGAGACTGTGAGCAGCCTCTAGGAATTGTTGGTGGCCTCTCAGCACTGAAGACAGCCTCTAAACAACAGCCAGCCAGAAGTAGAGGTCCTCAGTCCTTCAACCACAGGGAAATGAACTCTGTCAACAACTAAAGTGAGCTCGGAAGTGGATTTTTCCCCAGACTGCCTCCAGATGAGAATACAGCCTGGTCAGTGCTTTGATTGCAGCCTGAGGAGAGGACCCAGTTGAGATGCACCCAGACTCCTGACCCATGGACACTGTGAGATGATAAATGTGTGTTTTTTAAGCCACTGAGTTTGCAGGAAGGTGTTATGCTGCTATAGGAAACTAATAGAGTAGGATTAGGTGGAGGGAGACGGGACCAGCAACATGATTACAACAGAGGCTTCAGCCAGTCCTTCAAGAAGCTTAGGAGCTGGGTTGTCCCAGACTGAGATAAGGTGGCTGAGCCTTTGTATCTCCACGTGAGCCAGTCAGGGTCAGGGGTGCTCTCTGGGGAGTGCCTGCTTTTGGCAAAGGTAGTTCCCCTGTCGCTGAGGGCAGCTCCCATCAAAGGAATCAGCTGTGAGCCTTCAAAAGCCCGTGTTTCCAGAAGCTGGGGATGGGTGCATGGAACTTGAAGAGGGGACCTGGCAGACCCCCAGAATATCCACCGTACCCTCTCCAGTCCATTGGCTGTAATGGAGCCTAAATAAATATCCAAAATATAAACTTGTTCCTGTTCCTAGCATAGATGCTTTTTTGTTTTTTTAAGAGTTTATTTATTTACTTATTTGAGAAAGAGCACAAGCAGGAGGGGTGGCAGGAAGAGGGAGAAGCAGCCTCCCCACAGAGCAGGGGGAGCCTGATGTGGAACTTGATCCCAGGACCCCGGGATCATGACCTGAGCTGAAGGCAGTCACTTAACCAAGTGAGCCACCCAGGCACCCATAACATAGATACTTTTATTTTTATTTTTTTTAAAGATTTTATTTATTTGACAGAGAAAAAGAGAGAGATCACAAGTAGGCAGAGAGGCAGGCAGAGAGAGAAGGGGAAGCAGGCTCTCTGCAGAGCAGAGAACCCAATGCGGGGCTCCATCCCAAGACCCTGAGATCATGACTTAAGCCGAAGGCAGAGGCTTAACCCACTGAGCCACCCAGGTCCCCACATAGGTGCTTTTATAAGAGTTTTTTTTTTTTTTTTTTTTTTTTTATTTTATTTTTTTTATTGACCAGGAACGCAAGTAGGGAAGGCGACAGGCAGGGAGAGAGAGAGGAGGAAGCAGGCTCACCGCTGAGCAGAGAGCCCGATGCGGGGCTCGATCCCAGGACTCCGGGATCACGACCCGAGCCGAAGGCAGAGGCTTAACCAACTGAGCCACCCAGGCACCCCCCCACATAGGTGCTTTTAAATGGTGGTTTATTATCTTTAGGATAAAGCCAGACTTTTTTAAACATAGGCAGGACCTGCTGTAGTTTGACCTCCACCTTTCTCTCACGTGCAGGCCATTGAACAAGCTGTCCTCTCTACGCTATTCTCTGTCTCAGCCACTTTTTCAGCTTGTCCTTAGCTTTTCTCTCACTTACACATCTTGCCCCTCCTGGAGGTCTTTGCTGGACCTCCCAGCTATGTGTTCTTAGACTGCCCAGATAATTATACTCATCTTGCTGTGCCAGAGTTATGTTATATTTAAATGTGTTTTTATGGAGGAAAGAGACCATACAGGCAAGAGGATTCATAGTACACTGTCTTCCTGAACATTCTCATAACCTACTTCACTTCCCTCGACCTATAACAAGATAGAATTAGCCACTACTTTGTAACCTCACCATAGCTAGGTATCTTTTTAATGAAAATTATAATATTTTACTACATTTGTTTTTACATATCTGTATCTTCACACTAAATAGAATATTCTTGGAGGCAGTGTTCAAGTCACTAAGCATAGTACCTTGTCTTCTTCCTTCCTCTCTCCCTTCTTTCTGTCCTTTATTCTACAAGGGTGAGCAAAATCAAACACAATCCCTGCCCTCACAGAGCTGAAAGTCTACAGAGCTCAATAAATGTGTGCTGATAAATAAGTAAATGAGATGGTAGCTGTTGCAAGCTCATAGTCTTATCCTTTCTGAGAGCAAAGTCTGTCCCTCTCCCTGTACATGGAAGAGTTTGAAATTGTGGGTATGAGATTTTTGATTTGGACACCATTTTAACTTGGGAACCATGTGTTCTTTAATATTAGTAGGGCTTCCTCATTTTTAGGAGAGGAAGGAGATTTATTCTTTCTATTGACAATAGATGATTTGCTAAAGAACAATTTTCTAGCTTACGTTTTCTTGAGTTGTGTACTCCGGAATAGGGTAGCTTTGCATATAGAATCGGTGAGATATCATCAGAATTTAGTGTGTACTAGCAAGCATAATCCAAGACCCGCATTCTCAAGATGGTGGAAATTGTTCTTACTGGGGAGAAAAAAAGTTTAGGTGTCACAATGGCTTATACTCCTCCAAAGGACCACAATACATAAACAGATAAAAAGTGTATCTATGGTATCAACATTTTCTGGATGAGCTATTAGGAAAAGATGTCTAAAAAGTCCCAATAATGGGGAGAAAACAGGTGGAGAAACACTGATCCCAGATAGGCTTCTTATTTTGAAAACATGGGATGAACCAATTTGATCACTAGATCATTGTCTTCACTGTTTATCCTAATGCTGAGGGCACTGATTCCACTTGCAAAGGTCTACTCCAGTAGGTATCCTTATTGGGGAAGTTTTCTGTGCTAGCAGAAATGTGCTATAAACTTGACAGTCAATATAACAGCAAAGTGGGGTTTTATGCCTTCTACCTACTGCCTTTGACAAACACTCTGGGTAATTAGAGAGCAGTCAGTCATCAACCACACCTTTCATTTTTAATTTAATGATCCCATAATGTGTCACAAGGGAGCACATTGTGAGGTGATATGTACTGGAAATAAAATGGTGTAAAGTAAGTGGAAATATAGCTGTCATTCCACTCTCCAAGTCCTTAATAAAAACTGTGATGAAACTGGAAAAACAGAAATGTCTGAAAAACAAGTCACTTAAGAAAAAATTAGATGGGATGGTTATATCTGGATTTGTTTCATAGAAGAAATATAAATGTGTGTAACTTTCATGGGGTTTGTTTTTTGTTTTTTTGGTTTTTTTTTGGTGTAGTTTCACCTTCCATGTTTTCCACAAGGACTAACTACTACAAGCATCACTATATTATTTTTAAAAGATTGATTTATTTGGGAGAGAGAGAGAGACTATGAGTTGGGGGAGGAGCAGAGGGAGAGGGACAAACAGACTCCTCACTGAGCGTGGAGCCCGAGGCGGGGCTCGATCCCATGTCCCATGCTGAAACCAAGAGTCAGACACAACCGACTGATCTACTCAGGTGCCCCCAAACATCACTATATTAAAGAATGTGGGGGTGCCTGAGTGGCTCAGTCAGTTGAGTGGCCAACTCTTGGTTTCAGTTTGGGTCATGATCTCGGGGTCCTGGGATCAAGCTCCTTCTTATGCTCTGCTCAGCATGGAGTCTGCTTGGGGTCCTCTCTCTCCCTCTGCCCCACCCCAGCTCATGCTCTCTCTTTCTCTCAAATAAATATTTTTTTAAAAATGAATGCGGTGAGTTCCTGCATTTCAAAAGATCCATGATCAGATTCCAGATATGAACATCACCAAGTGAAATACACACATTTATCATTCCTGGATAAGGAACAGAGAATGGGAAAGAACACAGGTTAAGAACCAAAAAGAGTAAAAACTCCCTCAAGGGGGGCACCTGGGTGGCTCAGTGGGTTAAAGCCTCTGCCTTCGGCTTGGGTCATGATCTCAGAGTCCTGGGATCGAGCCCTGCATCGGGCTC